TTTATAATATATTTTTTGGGTACCTCTTTATGACGAGTTATACAAAAAGGGATAACTCTCCCCTTTTCCCAAATCTATCCCCAAGAAATATCAGAAGAGCTCAGGAAATTGTTAGGGAAGAAATAGTATGTCTATGAACTACAATATGGTTCCAAATTAGTCATGCATCTAGAAAACAGAGAACTGTCATCGGTCATTTTAGGGAAGACTTGCAAATGTGCTGTGTTTTCAAGGGTAGTTGAGACTGCATAAGGCTCCCAATTTGTCAGCTAGAAAACAGAGGATTGCCGTTGATCATTGCAGGGAAAACTAGCACATAGACGTGATAAATGGGTTGCGTTGGGTTAGGTCATTATGGTTGCAGGTTAGATGGATTGGATCAAGCAGGTTTACAAGCATAAAAGAAGGTGACCATTGACCTACACATTCACGAGTTATGAGGTTTTGGCCCTACACATGTGAGTTGCAAATCAAATGGATTGAGTTAAATAAATTCATAGTTGGAGTCTGCTTGTGCACACTAGCCACTCAACACTCTAGACTAGTGCATTTTTGGATATATTTACCCTTGTAATTTGTAAACCTGGTACTATTTTTTGGAAAACTAGCAAACCAATGGACATTCCATTTTTTATGAATAGTATGAACCTCTTACTTCTTTTCTTCTCTAGATTCTCATATGGAACTGATATCATCACCTCATTCGAAAATCTTATTGACGGCAGAACCTTAGTTTCTAGTGATGGAAGCTTTGAACTGGGGTTTTTCAGCTCTGGAAGCTCTGGTAGGAGTTGTTACTTGGGAATTTGGTTCAGGAAAGTCTCAGTTCAAGGGTTACAAACAGGTGCAGCCCAATAAACGACTTGTCAGGTGTTTTGATGATAATTGATAAATAGCATGGGCAATCTGGTACTCCTCAGTCAAAGCAGAAGTGTTGTTTGGGCATCAAACTCAAAGATAGAAGCTCAAAACCTACTAGTGCAGCTCCTGGATTCTGGAAATCTTGTTCTAAAAGATAGAATTGCTGGTAAATCAGAAATACTTTTGTGGCAAAGCTTTGATTATCCTACCGATACTT